GTAGGCATCCATCTTTGTTTCTCCGTGCGTGTGAGTGAGTTGCTCTGTGGTCCAGCCTGCCTTTAAAATAATGTACCTTTTTGTTGTGGCCAGTGGAGCCTGGGTGTTCCACATCACTGAAGGATGCTGATTAATCTGTTCAGCCCTGGGAGCTGGAGGCTTACGCATTACTAGGACTTGACAAGAGATAAAAGTTTTCACTAGTTTCTACTTTTCGAAGTTTTCTTTAGGAGGGACAGTAGTGAAAGAAGTCACCTCACAACTCTTCTAACCTCCGTAACTGCATGATCAGACACTTGCAGTTACCTTCCTCTGCTTTCCTTCATTTGCTTTATAGAACTAAAATGCATTTGCTTTGTCAAGCTGCAGGATAAAATGACTACTCGAAGTAAATGCTCTCTGTTTTCTGCTGTAACGGGTTTGTGGCTTTGATTAAGATTCCTGTTCACAGGCCAGCCTGGTAGCTCAGCAGACTATTGTTATCATTAACATGCTGACCCTCGGCGATACCACGGGAGAGTGTTTCTCCCTGCTGAGGATGGCAGTTTGCATTGTTCAGGTAGTCAGATGTAATGATGCATTTGAACAGGGTGTGCATGAGGGGGAGGCTTGAGTAATCCCGTCTCCCAGTGAAGTGGAGTGGGAAAGCCATGGTGGTACTAATTATTAAATTGCTTGGTTTTGCCTGCACCTTTCTGTTGGGGTCAACTTGCATAATGAGCCCCCTCCAGTAGCAGAAGTGACATTTGTTGGCATAAGGAGGGTGGTTTCCTGCCTAAAATCCTTCCAAGTGATTTTTAGCAGTGCTCATTTTCACAGCACATAGGCTCAGGTGATGCAGAAAAGTCTAAGCAAAGACTTTCTTGGCTCCTCTTCTGGGCATGTAGAGTCTTCTGTGAGAATGGTTGCATGGAAGGGACAGATAAAGAGGGGGAAAGAGGATGTTCTCGAGGGGGTTGCTATTCTTTGTGGCTGACAACATCCAGATTTGATGTTTGGTGTGCCGTGGCCCCCCAGGCCCTCTTAAGGCACCTGGCCCTGCTACGTACTCACAAGACAGGAGACTCCCACCCCTGGGATGTAGGTCTGCCTGTATGCCAAGGAATAATAACTGAATACAGGAAAAGAAGAGGAAATACATAAGGAAATAAGTGGGACCAGCTTTTTTTTTCTGTCAAAATGGGCGTAAATGACGTCAAACTTTTCTTCCTTTTAACACAACTTTTTCCTGGTTGCAGAACGTAGATTGAAACGTTCTTTGCCCTCAAAAGGTCTTGCACCCTTGATGACTTCAGGCACTTATTACTCCTTTTTAAAAAGTTAGTTGCAGTGTTAATGTGAATGGGTTACTACAGTAGGGAGCATATAGGTGTTTCCAGGTAGAAAAGCAAGTAAATCTCCTGTGTTTAGCACTGCTTGTGATTGCACTCTCCTCTTCTCAGCCAGGGGGTCTCACAGCTGGTAGGAAAGGAGCCCCTTGGGGTTTTTCCCCCCATCCTTCAGGGAAGGAGATGTTGTAAATGGTGATGATTTGCAGATGCTTTCCCTCAGTCTTCCTTGTGTTATCTAGCATGATGAGAATTTCCTAGTGGTTTAAATCTTGGTTTTGCAGTGAAGATCCAGCAGTCCTGAGATCGTAACACTGTATGGTGCAGTTTTTAATGCAGCCAATGTAACTTTCCCTGATAAATGCCCAGCCCTTCCACCACAAACTACGAAGCAAAAATGACAAGTACTGTAATGTTGAAACTGGATCCAAATGTATTTAGCAAACTGAGCATTTGCCATATTTAGTATCATCAAAGTTCCTTTGTCTCATACTTCAGTGATGCTTTGCTGGTCTTCTGGTGAGTCTGATGCTGCTTCTCTTAAATCACCTACACTACTACTCTAAACCTTCCCCCCTTATCTGTTCTTGTGTGAAATTTGTCAATACACTTTACTACTCCTAAACTGACTCTTAGGAAAAAAAATGCTAAAGCTAAAATGTGTGTTTGGTCCCTATCAGGCTGGGCCATTGATTTGCTCAGGAATCTGTGATACTGTGTTCCTTTCCCTGCGCATTGCAACTGACAGCTTGTAGCAAAGTCAAATAAGATGTTTAACAAACCACATGCCCTATCGGTTTTAGCTTTGCCATTGTACCCTCGTGGCTGCGAGCCAGAGACAGATACGCCTCCTCCAGAGCGACACAACTTTGCCTGTGTTTTGTGTGCACATGTGTGTCTGTAGCCAGTTCCACATTTCTCTCTCTCGCATTAGCTGGGGAAACCTGTGCTGAGCTGCACAGAGCAATTTGAAACTGAGTATTGAAAGGGGAGGAAATAAAACCACACCGGAAGGTGAAGATTCTTCTCTGCTCTGGGGCTATTCTTCCAGGGAGGGAGAAGGTGGGTTGTCCTGGTGAATGAAAGCCACAAATGTCAGTGTCCCAGCATAAATGCCAAAATTGGTCAGAAAGAGAGGACAGCTTGCTGTGCCACTTGATATCTGCCTCATCTGCGGTGTTGCCATAGGCTTTTGAATGCCAGCTGCAATAATTAAAGTCAGGTATTGTTGCTGTGCATTAAAAGAAAAAAAAATAATCCCAAATCATTTCATAACTCTCTTTCAAAATCCATCCGAACACAGACGATCAGAGCTCACAGTTGTGACTGTGGCAGGATGATTTCAAACAAGGGAGGGACCTTGCTGTGAGTTAAAATAAAAATATGGTTAAAAACCATAAATAAGATTTCTATTTTTCAATGTATGAACTTGCAAGAAGAAAAAGAATTGGCCCGAGGACAATACCCAGATTTGAGCCTTGCGTTGGCTCCTCCTCCATCATCCTTGTTCCCTGACATTTTTCTATAGTTACCGTTGCTCTCTGTGCATTACCGTCTCTCTGCACGATGCCCGTTCCTTTTCCTTGTGGGCATTTAACGACACTCAAGTCTTAGTTCTGAAGTCTCGGGGTCTCCCTGTGCGAGCGATTTCGCTCTGTGCCCTCCTGCCTACTCCTTACACTCACCGTGCTCCTCTGTGTAGCGAGCAAATGAGCACCAGAGCAAGCCCCACGCGCGGCGTCTTTCTGAGCTCAGCTGCCTGCTGCTTCCCGGGAACTCGCCTGGTTTTGCAGACGTAGTTATTGAGGTTGATCACAATAGTGAGGCGTCTGCCAAGCTGAGTTATTTGCACAAATACACTGTGTGCAGGTTTGGTACAGTGGGGCTCGACGTGCTGATTGCCTCTTTTCATAGCGCTACTCACGGCACGTGTCGTTGTTTAGAAGGGGGAGAAACCCGTTTTTAAGACCTTGACTCTGCTTTTGGCAGGGGAAAACCATAATAGTGGGAAAAACCTAATTAAGAGCAGTTGTACTGAAGTCTTAGCAGAATGTTTAAGTTAAGGGACTCTGAGTTAGCCCCATAAAAATGAATGAGATTATGTAAAACAATTCAAATAACACCACCTATTCCATCTAAGTAATAAGCCAGTCACGTAAGTGGCCTATGAACCCTTGAGAGGAATGCTGGCTGCCAGCGTTTTCAGAAGTGATGATGGTTTCAGGCCAGTTCCATTCTGGGATGCTAAACTCGAGCTCAATGAGAGCCACTTTGTCAGGAGGTCCTCAATGGTCCATTCCCTGAAAATGAAGTGTGCCCAGCACTGCATCCAAAAATTAGGATATCCTAAATGATCGAAAATTCTGGCCACTCGTGCTTATTTTAGGAGGCTGTATTCTTCCCCAGTTTCATCTGCAGGATTCATCTTGAACTGAATTGGTGTTCATCAAAAGCAGAATTAAAGCCTTTGAACCCGATTCTTATTTAAACTAAGGTCACTTATGAGTGGTTTTGTAATATACAGGCACTGTGAAGTACAATGTATAACCACCCTAATTAATGCTCCTTTACACAACCGGAGCAGTGCAAAGTGGCCTCAAGAGAAGTGAAAATCAAGTCCGTAACTTGCTAACTTCCATCTCCGAGATTGCTCTTTTCATACGAAGTGCTCGGCCATGGCAGCCTCTGCACTTGTGGTGGTACCAGCAGTGGACACAGCCAAAACGGGACAGTTGTTTGTTCCAGTACTAAACTCCTCGTATTTTTTCCCTCAGCTGTATCCTTCCTCCTTTCAAGGGCTTTATTGTTGTAGCGTTTCAACATCGTTCTCAGCATTCTTAAAGACAGAGTTGACAGAGCCTGGTGTTCTGCAGCAAGGAGAGCAAAGCTGCTTCGGCAGTTTGAGATTAGCAAACGTAACTGCCCAGATTCTTTTGGAGACAAACTGAAACATAGGTGTCTAGATGGAACTTCTTTCTCGCTTAAAAGTCTTGGTTGCAGGAAATGTAATTGATGCCCTGACAGTTTTTTTCTTGTTGTTAAATTTTGAAGAGGCTGTCTTGTGAAACAGCAGAGCTTTCCTTCAGGCTGCACAGGAAACGAACCCGGTTTTTAATCAAGTAACAAAATCCACGGCTTGGCAATAGAAGGTCCGTGCATTGCACGTATCAATTAATGCCTATTAATCAGATTTTGCAGTTAGTTGAACTGCAGATTGTAGGTGGAAGCTATTAGGGGGAGAATCGCCAGAGGAATACTGTTGCAGGACTACACTCGGTTTTCCTGTTTGTGTCCTTTTGGATTCAAGGTGTTTGTATAATGAAGTTGGCACATTGCTATGTGATCTATTTTTTAATGTCATTACAATTTTAGTTCCCTCTGCCTTTTTGTCATTGGGTTACATTTAAGCACAGCAAGATCAACTTTAAACTTCCTTACTCAACAGCTTTATTAGTTATAACGTACCGTGACCTTTCTCAACATTCTTAAAGAAAAAGATACAGTGTAATGTCACTTTACTTTGCTTATTGTTCTTTGTTGTGGTGAACAAAGCATTTTCTACAGTGGCTATAGCACATAATTATACAGCTTTCAATAGCGGTGTCTTGGCACATATCAAAGTTCAGAAGAGCCTTTAGAAAAAAAAAGATGTTTTGTGGCAGCCTAGGGAGG